GCCCCTCCATCGGAGTGCCACCAGAGTCGAGTGAAAACGAGGAGAAACGGTATACACTCGGCGTATGTGCACGAATGCCTCCCCACGAGGCCTCAAAGAAGAAAAAATAAAAGAGAAGGATTCAACAATATCTCTGTCTCACTCGCCGGCTTTGCGCCGACGGCAACGTGTTCCCAACATGAGTTGGGGCTCACACACACACGCGTATTCGATGGTGTGCGTCATGTGGATGGGATACGAACACTTGCGCTCTTTCAGTCCGGTTCCCTCTTTGCGGTCCAAGAGGGGCTTTTTTTTGCTGTCTTTATCCCTCGCCCGCGCGAATGGAAGGCGAGAAGGAAAATACTTGTCGGTCACAAAGGACATGTACGAGTGCGGGATTACGTGGTGGGTGATGATGGGAGGATTCCATTTTTTTAGATGATTGGGGGGACATTTGATGGTTGGGATAATGAGGGTGGGGGTGGGAGGGTTGGGGGGAGGGGTAATTGAGAGACGAACGGGGGTTCGTTGAATAGATCGGAAGATTTACCCACAAATTAAAAAAAAGACGACCCATTTAGCTCCCATAGATCCCGAGTTATCGCGGGAAATGTAAAAGTGATCTAGCGATCGATGATCTATGGGGTTATTTGGGATTTTTTGGGGATGTACTCGGTCAAAAAGAGCGGTGTTCCTTCAGGTCGATGGGAAATATATCGGGCTGTCCGATGGAGTCATTTACAATTCATTCCGCCCCAGTCATGTGAAAATGATTTAGCGATCGATCAAAGATCTACAAGAATTGATTTAGGATTTACTCCGGAACGGTTGGAGCTAGGAGAGTCGTCTTTTTTTTAATTTGTGGGTAAATTTCCCGATCTATCGAGTGAGCCCACCCCCTCCCGCCTCCAGCCGCAGAATATCGCGCGCAAATTTATATGATTTAACCTCAACTGGAAAAAATTGATGATTTAGGAGGGAGAAAATCATGGCCTGGCCATACCCGAAGGCCAGCCCCGGGTGATAATTAAAAATAGCAGAGGTGAAGTGACGCCAAATGTCCGGAAATGCTACTAGGAAAAAGAATAAGAAAAGAAATAGGCGTTCCGAGAGTAGAAGACGCACAGTGGGCGCCTCTTGTTCTTTCCACTCCATAACGATCCTCCGACTCCTTTCCACCCGTGTCCAAGGTGGCCCCACGTGTTTTTGTGTCCCACCGAATTTACAATGAGCCCGAGTCAACCCCTGGGCATTGGGTAGGAAGGTGGACTATACCCAAGACCGGAATGACGAGACCAGGATCACACTCGCGTACATATTGAGACCAGATGCCTCCTCGTTTCTGTCTAAATTATTATTCTCGTAGTTGTGTGAAAAACACCCACTTTTTTCGCTATGAATGTAACATCTTTGCATGCTCACTGAGTGATTTTCTCACGGGTGAATTTGTTTGTTTCAGAAATCATCGAGATCATACCATGAAATCATATCACGTGTTATCAGACCCAATGGACGCACGTGTCAACGCAAGGTTCAACATGCATTTCGATTGATAATTTATTTATTTCAAGCTTTCAATGGAATTTCTTTTTGCTTCAGCGGGAGTCATCATTCTTCGGCTTTTGGTTTTGGGGGCGGGGGTGGGGGCAGGCGGTTGATAATTGTCTCATCGGACTGATCGGGGAATTTACCCGGAAATTGGAAAAAAGACCAGCCGTTTTGCCCCGGTAGTTCAGGAGATACGAACGAAAAACGTGTTGAATGGTAAATATTGTTTTCCGTGTGTCTTGGAAACAAACGGGGCTGTACGGGTCGTTTTTTTTGTAATTCGATGGTGAATATCCCGGGGCTATTGGATGGGGTCATTATCGACCCCCCCCCCCACCCCCACTCCCTCAACAGGTGGATCATTCCAATCGTTTCGATTCATTGGTTCGAGAATATTTTTCTTATGACAAAATGATAATACTCAAATTCTCGTCAGTCTTTGTATCGAGTTCAGGATCATTACGACTCGATCGAGATGGATTTTGTTTTTATTTCAATAGCATCATCAAAATTGAATTGACAATTCCTCATTCTCACGAATAAATTCCGAACTCGGAGTGGAGACACTTTTCTCACTGATTTTCTCTAAATATCCGCGCAATCTTTCACTTCAAGTTGAATAATTTGTATTCAGTTAAAGTGCAATATTATCGCACAATTGTCAGTGCATTATTGTTTCTCAGTTCAATAGACAATTTAGACTTTTATTCAATTCATTTCGTGTAATTCCAGACTCTATGTTGTGATCAGTTTGTGTCATCGCACAGCAGTTGATTTTTTGTGCAATAAAAATTGACGTGTTTCAGTGAATCTGTAATTTTCATTCAAATACACCTTGAACTCTATTTTCCTATCCCACATACTCTGAGTTGGTTTACGTTCCCGTATCAGTCGTTGGAGATTCGTTGGCGAACTGCAGTATTGGTATATCTGGAATTTACGCTCTCGAGGAAAAGGCCAACATGAAACGAAAATGTCATTTTCATTTAAATAGCACTATCGAAAGTCAATTGACAACTCCTCATTTCCCCTGATAAATTCCGAGCTGGGAATAGTTTCGGCGTCTCAAAATGGCCCGAGAGGTCTACAAAATGGTGGAGCGGATAGTTTGAATCGTCTTTTACACGTATTTTCAATGGTTTGACGCTTACTCATTGAGATTATTCTCGAGCTGAGGTTATTTCTCGCTTTAAAGTCGTTCCTTTTTAAGACCAACGACGCAAAAACTAGTCGCGTGCTTAGCTAAACGCTGGTGCGGCCTTGGGGCTTGTTGCATCGGTGCGCAAAACATTGGGACGTGAATTGAAATGGTTAAGTACGTAGGGCTGTTAAAAAATTAACTCTCACCATCTATTTTCATTTTTCAAGACAACCAATTCCTTTGGAACAAAATCATTCCATTTTTCCATCTCTATAAATATGCAGTTATTCCGTTAATGAGTGGTTCTAGGGGAAAAAGTTGTAGAACATTTTTTGTAGAGAATTTTCTGATCTACAAAAAATTTCTTGTGACATTTTCTCTTAAAACAGTTCATTAACTAGATAATTGCATAATTAGGAAAAATCCCAAATTTGAACTTTTGCGTTTCACGATTTTGAATTCGTTTTGCATATAATCGTTCGTATCTCGGAAACTACACGCCGGAAATAAATGCGCTACGTCTAGTTAGAAAGCTGCGAAAATTTCCGATCAAAAAATGTGGCCAGGAGTCGATTTTAATCTGTTGGTTATCGCCACACACGCGAAACCAAAAACAGACGCTCGGAGAATCGTGAAAACGATTTTTTCAGTTTTCTCGGGTTCTAAACGCCTGATTGGGACAATTTTTTTTTCAATCCGATATAAAATTTTCCGATACATCAAGTGCGACCAATTGCAACCCTCTAACCTCCTCCCCTCGCAAAATGTACGTAATAATATTGAAAGAACCGCGAGCTCATCTGCTTGCAAACTAGAAAATAATGAAAAACCAGATAGTTAAATCTGATTGGGCATTAAGTTGTAAACTAATTACATAAGAGACGATGTCGACAACTATCTAGCCCAATAATATAGCCATATTTGGTGCATTCCCCCCTTAACATTCCCACCCAATGATTTTACAATTTTTACGACCTTAATCGCTTGCTAATTGGCCATCCGCCATTTTACCCAAAACTTTACGATCTCAATCCCCAACGCGTCAGGATTATAAACCTCCAGGAAACCCCCCTTAGCTCCATAAATTACCCGAAAGTCGTCAGCACTCGCCTGAACCCAAAAATAAAAACGGCCAACAATTTTTTAAATCAAAATTCCTCGTCATTTTTAATTTCGAAAATTTCACTGAAAAATATCGGGGTCGAAAGTGACCTCATCGAACAGATCGGGAAATTTACCTACAAATTGAAAAAAAGACGATTCATTTCGCCGCACTACTTCGTAATAGACAAAAAATATTTTCGGCTCGAAAGCTCATTTTTGGGCCTTATTTTCAGTTCTACACGCAATTCTTCAATTTTCAAATAACATCAAATGCAATTTCTACTCTCATCAACCGAGAAAAATCATTCCTTCAATTTTATTCACCTCTCCCCCAGAAATAAAGGCTGAAATAGAAAATTGGGTCCACGTGTCACTGGGACTCAAGTCCCCATGGTTCTTAAGCGTAAGAATAAGAATATCATGAAGAATGAAAAAGGAATAAGCCTCACCTTTTATATAATAAATATACCTAGGCCATAACGAACCCAAGCTGGGGCCCATAGCGCGCGCGAGCGCGGGGCCCAACGTCGACGGCGCGTGTCACGGGGGGCAGCTGGCAGCGGGACCCCTTCATTGTGTTCAACTCAACTCACCTATAACATATATAAAAAATCTATATATACGTGAGGAAAACGGTCTCAAGAGGGAAGCAAACTACGGCCCACATAATGGGCCTCAAATGGCCAAATTATAGACCGATAGTCCCAGTGTCTTAGCGCTTTGAATATCGAAATCCACTGTTGCAACGTATTATTTAGCATAAAGCGGATGTTTAAATATTTATTTTGATCGTAATCTATTTATTTTTGGGCCTTATCGACAGTTTTGGGTCTAACCAAAATTCATTATCTCCTGACGATCAGCTCTGGGTGAAGGGAAAATAGACTCTGAAAATGAAATTCTCACCATTTGTTTCAATCATAAATTTTTTTGGGCCTTATGCAAATTTTTGGGCCTTACTATAATCTAGTATTTCCTCGGTCTTTAATCCTGAGCACAGGGGTAAGAATGGAAAGCTAAAATGGTATTTTTTAATAGATCGGAAAAATAAGGCCCTTTTTGTGCGAAATCGTTTTACGAAAATAATTCGGGAACTAATGGACCAAAAAAGATCGTCTTTTTTTTAATTTCTGGGTACATTTGCCGATCTATCGAATGGGCTAATTTTCGACCCCGATTTTTTTCACCCTTAAATAACTTCTCAATTTTTCAACTTTTGAGACAAATTTAGGAACCAAAATGTGTAATTTTCAATCGACCACGTGTCGAAATGGTATAGAATAGCACTTGTCCTCGAGGCTCGTGAAAGAATGAGTAAAAATAGAACGAGTGTATGACCAGGCAGATGACAATAACATTGTCATTAGGCATTCAGTCCGGGATTTCGGGGCATACCACGTTTTACTATAAAACCTTAAACGTATATGTACGGGTGTAAGGCACGTGCCAACAACAAGCTTCCCTTTTATTGTCACTCTCTATCTCCCCCCCACTCCACTCCATCGAAACGTCGCACTTCCCCCTCTACTCTCCGCGGGGATAACCTCAACGAATTAATTACTGACCTCTAGGAATCCCTTCTCAGTATTTTTTCCTGAATTAAATCGTCGCTTCATTCAATTTTTAAATCAACTAGCTGATGAAAAAAAAATTTCGTGTAGAACTATATTTTGTTTGTGGTAAAAATCATTTGTTTCTGGGGAGATTTTTTAATTTTTACGCTTTTTTACATTTTCCCAGACATTTTGGGGGCTTCAATGACGCGAAAAAATTTTTTGGCATAAAAATATGCGGTTGAACGTGAAAAATTGAAGAGTCGTTCTTAACACATTCACATGCGGTATTGTATGACCACCGCGCGTCAACCGAGTGTAATAGACTCGAGCAAGGCCGTGCGCTTGGCGCCTGGGGTAAGTATTGACCTCGTCTCCAGCGTCAATCGCCTCTCCCAGCAGTTCCGGCCGTCCAAAAATTTTCAAACATTTTTTTTTTCATTTTTCCGTCCATCGAAAATCGCGAAAAAGATGTGAAAAAAAATTGACATTTTGTGGAGGGATTTTTCCTCCTCTTTCGAAGTCTCTCTTGGAGTCAATAGTTATCAGTCCGGGGACAGATACCAATCGACCGAGTCCTCGTGACGGCACAACTCCGCCGAGCGACGTAATTTCCTTTTTTTTTTCTTCTCCTCCAACTCGCATTCGTTTTATTTTTATCTCCTGTGTTGTTTTTTTCCTTTTCTCTCTGTTTCAGTTTTATGTAGCAGGTAAAATGCCACACAGAGCGGCCCTGATTGGTCTCCCCGTGAATGTATTATCAAACAAATGGGTTTTGAGAGAGAAATGGGAATAATAAAGAGATTGAGGTGAAAATCGCGTGACAATTTTTTTACAATCGACTTCACCTTCGACTCCGCAATCCGGGAAATTTCATTGGAATCCATCCGAGACACCTTTGCGATAAGTTTTTCGTAGAAAACTAAAACCTCAGCGCCAGCTACTTTGCCACCTGTTGCCCTGACATGGCAAAAGTAAAAGGAAAAAATATCGTCGAGTGTTTCATCGAAACTTCCCATAAAAAAATGTTTTGCTTTAAAAAAAATGAATCCCTCGCGAATGTTTATTTGGTATGTCCTTCAACTGGACAAAGTGACCTAATTTTTCATTTCCGTAAATAATTATTTTTTTGCAAATTACTATTCCAATTTTATAAAATCTTGCAAAAATTTCACTTTTTTTAAATTTTGATTGTTTATTAGGGGCGGAGGGATAATAATCCTATCTGATAGATCGAAAAATTGGTTCATAAATTGGAAAAAATTGACCCCTTTTGCCCCCCATAGATTTCCAAACATTTCAAAAATCAAAATTTTTCCCAAATTAATTTTTTGGCTGTAATTTCTTAAATAATGGGGCAAAACGGGTCATCTCTTTTTGACAATTTACCGAGCCCAACCTCCGAAATAATTTTTTTATTCTCAAAGATGAAAAAACTCAATTTCTGAAAAAAAAAAATAGAATAGAAAATCGCAATTGAAAATAAAAATCTAAATTTTTTAAATATTTGTCATATCGATAGTTAAACAGAGACTCCCACCAGAAGTCGAGACCCCGACGTCCTTGATTTGTCGCGATAAGCCCCCAGCTCAAAGTATTATATTCACCGGCACATAATACACTATCTCCAATATTTATAAAACCTAAACGTTAAATGTACAGGAAATATTTTTCTGTGGCATTTGCGTGTGTTATCTGAATGAAATAAGACGGCAGTTGTGATACCGGTGTTACTGTCTAGTCGTGGTACGAGATAAGATGAGGTGCCCAAAATGGTCGTCGAGGTCGATCTTGGGACTTCAGACCCCTTAATTCTCACATTTTCTTCGATATCTCGAAGTCCAATCGATCTAGGAAATTGTCGTCAGTAAACTTCCGGTTGAAAACACAATGCGACTGTCGATTTTAATCGATAACTCTCATAGTTGACCTCAAAACAGATATCGTATCGCAAATCGATTTTTCTCGATATCTCGAAATGTCGCGGGGCAGAATGGGCCGCCATAATGTGTTTTCGACCGGAAATATGCCCCGCTATTTGAGGAATCGATTGTCTAGGCCGATCGATTCCCAAGATATTGAGAAGAAAAGTAAACAAACAGATGATGAAACTCACCGACTTAACCTGAAAATCGATTTATTCGGCTTGAAAGTTTTGCCTCGTGCCTTCTCCTCCTTCACTTCTTTATTTTTATTCTTCCGAGTGACTCGAGTGTCTCTAATCTCTCGAGTGAGGTTTACCCGAGGTACTTTTCGGGGCCGTCCAAAAGGACGTGGATGATCGCACATAGGCAGCTGCATTCCCCGCAAAGGATGAGACCAGATGGCTCTTTGGGGCCTATCCTTCGAAAATGTAAACCCATACCCCGGTATAGCAATGTTGCCAGCGCCCAAACACACGATGACCGCACTAAGCGAAGGACAAGTATCGTAAACAGAGGGGAAGAGCATTCCGCATGGTTACGTCTGATTATTTTGCATTTTTTTTACCCCTGAAACCACGATTGACTGCCGATATCCCTAGAAGTCACTGGAAGGCGGATTAAACAACTAGATTCCGATGGAAATTAACTAGGGTTCCAACATGAGTGGTTTCTTTTTTATGGGTATATAGTTTTCGAGAAAAATCCAATTACCATCTCTAAATTTTCCCTAGAAATACCTAAAAATCCCCTAGAATTCCTCTAGAAATCACTAGAAAAGGAATTAAAAACTAGATCCTCATGTGAATTGACTGGGGCGCCAAACACCAGCAGTTCCTTTTTTAGGGTATAAAGCTATCCAAGAAGTTTTCGCAAAAATCATAAAATTCCCCTAAAATTTACTAGAAAAAGGAAAAAATAACTAGATCTTCAAGAGGAGCTATCTAGAAATCTAGTGCAGGTGAGGTAATTCCTTCACACACGAAATGCCCTGCAATAACCACGACAATTGTCCCTAGCCATTCCAAAAAATTCCCCAGAAATAACCAAAAACGCGAAAAAAAACTAGATATTCAACGCTCAATATCCCCTGATCCAGGGATCGGAGGAAGATTGTCTTTTTTTCTACTTGACAGTGCATTTTCCGATCTACACGCTGGGGTCATTATCGACCCCCCCCCCACCACCGAGACCCCTCGTAATGTGCTCTTTTCGAGAAGGGGAACAAAAAAAAACTGGCAATAAAATTCGGGGAAAGAAATACCCCAAACTCCCCCCAATTATCTTTCACCGGATGACGCCTGACCATAGGGAGCTTGTCAATTCCCAACGGTACGCACTATACGTCCCAATGATGTTTTGCTGTCGCATTGCATTAACCGAAGAGGAGCGTTACGAATTAAAGGGGTACCAAGGGGGTCGACTTGGCCACGCCCTCCAGCTCATTATTCGCCTCTTTCCCCCCCACGAGGACAAGTACACCAGATAGGGGGATGAAAATCATTGCATTTTTGGGGGAATCGCAAATTTCCCTAGAATCAAAAATTTAAAAACTACCCGTTTTGCCCCGATATTCTAGGGGAAAAAATTGGAAAAATTATGTTTTCATTTTTTCTCCGAAAATAATGGAGCGAAGGGGTAATTTTTTTTCATTTCCGCGGAAATTTTTGGAAGTATTGAATCGGGTCATTTTTGACCCCATACTACCTTCCGGTCTGGCGGGAAATTCAAATTTAAAAAATGGTTTTTTGTTAAAAATATTTTTTTTCCAGTTTTCGGCAAAAATAATTGGGCAAAATGGGTTGTATTTTGTTTGAATTTGCGGGAATAGTTTCTGCTCTATAGATTGGGGTCATTTTCAACCCCATTCTTCCGCTGGAATGGGAAAAAAATTGAGTTTTGCTGTTTTGAGAGGTTTCGAGGTTTTTTCACCGGGAAAAATCCTGTTTTTTTTGACAATTCTTTTGTTCAGAACAGTCGGGGTGTATCTTAATACATAGAATGATGAGGCAGACGGTGCGTCTGCGGTCAACTTTGTTGCAACACTTACGGGAGGATTCGACATTGTATGGGTATGGCGAGAGAGAGAGAGAGATAAAAAAGAACGG